TTACTATGCCTTTCGTTGTCGACGGTACGATATTTCGGACGCCGCGCACGTCCGCTGTGGACCCTACTTCAGATAGATTATACTCCCTTTGTCGTAAATTTTACAACTTCAAAAATTAGCCGCTCTGAAGGCTGGACTGATGTGGGCTCGCAAATTGTTTTAACAAGCTCTGCGCTTGAGTTTATCAAATAATTATTATTTATGCTCCTAAGTTGTGCGGGACGTTTTTGTTTTGCACTTCTATTTTATTTTCGTACAATGCATTTAAATGCACTTTAGAAGGGTTGGGTAATAGGGAAATATATTGTCATGAAAAAATTAATCAAATACTGTCTGTAGTTTAGGCGACTAACACATTAAAATAAAACACTTTAACGGATTAAAACTCGATGTATATTAGTTAAACTTATTTAGAAATTGTTTTAACTACGGCGCGACGTTTCGACTGCTTTGCAGCAGCCGTGGTCACGTTTATATCGCGTTTGCTTTTTTGATTTGGTGAATTCGATCCCCAACATTGCAACATTTTTCCCAATCAATTTATAATTTTTCTGAAACATATTGGTCTAAAATCTGAATATTAAATAGATTATAGAAATATCTAAGCGAACCACCGTCCTCTTATGAGAAGGGCGTCAAAACGGGTTTCATTTCCGAATATCCAAAGTCAAAATAGGTCGGTAGCCGGGGTATATCAGCTACCACCAAATGAACAACATGTCTGTCTTCATTTAAAAAAAGGGCATTTAATAGGAAAATTCCTCCATATCTTTAAAATTACAGCCATAATTGCCTACTCATATTAACGCGCTCTTTGGCGCTTTTTATAAAAGGTCAATTTCGCACTTTGCACTAAGGAAGCAGTAAATTAAAGATTTAATATTACACGAAGCCAACACGCTGGGTGTAACTCTGCAGTTGTGTTGTGGTCCAAGTTTCGACCCAATTATATACTGTCTGTAGTTTACGCGCGTAGTATTGAATAAACACTTTAACGGTTTAAAACTCGATGTATATTAGTTGAACTTATTTTAAAAATATTTTTAACTACGGCCTAACGTTTCGAATGCTTTGCAGCAACCGTGATCACGGGGAGACCAACTGTTATACTTTTAATGGAAATACGTGAAATTATTGTTTTACAAAGAAAACTTGTATAAAAAGAAAAATAAAAAATACATACTGTCTGTAGTTTCCGTGAGAAGTACGCATTTAAATAAATCACTATTAAGGATTTACAACGATATATTAGTTAATTTATTTTTAATTTATAAGTAGAATTCAATATCAAACTCACGACCAACCACAATAGATGGAGTTTAAAAGTTTTTTTTTTGAAGCGAATTTTGCCGACAATATCAAAATTTTCAAATACGGATACACTAGATGGAAGCTAAAATATATGGGCCTATCCAATTTGTTGTTCCTAGACAGACAAAATACAGACCTGCTGTGTCCAAATGTTTAAAACTCCCGTCATTGCTATAACGTAATAATGTTTAGGTGAAGTTGAAAGTTTAACTTTTCAAATGAAACATTGTGACCTGTTTAAAACACGAAATATATTGTTATATATAATCTAACTACGCCCCGATGTTGAACATGACATCTAAATACAAACAAACAAACTGTTCAACTTATGTTATGTGTATAACTTATGTTCAACGTATGGTATGTAATGCTGGATGCTAGGTACGCTTAACAATTTGGGTACAGAGGTGGTCAACTTTATAAAATTGGTAAATTAAAAAAAAAAGGTTCACTAACATATATCCCGTTTTAAACCGTTCTACATGATTTAAAAAATACATAATTTAAGCAAGACTTTGTATTTCAAACCGTCAAGTGTTACATCTAGTAGTATAGTAGTACAAATATAGAGAAATTTGAGGTACTTCGTATAACAACCGCACTTGACTTGACCTGGGCAACTTTAGTTACCGCTGGCACAATATAGATTCCCTGACCGCTTGTAACTTAATCCTCGTCTGGAGCGAAACATTGCTGGTGATTTATAGAACGCTGCGCATCCGTGACTTATTACTTGCTGTGTTCAGGGAATAAGGCTATTGCAATGATATGATGTTTCGCTCTTAAACTTGGGTGATAATTATTAAAATTATAATAAAAGTGTAAACGGTTCCCCTAGTGGGGCATGGGGCGAATACATTCCTGTGTCCGTTTGAACGTTACTTACAAGTAGATAAGTAAGATCAGACTATTGTGCCTTACCTAATACAACAATTTGTATGGGAATTATTCAGTTCAATTATTATCATTTTTTTTCTTAAACATTAAGCAATTTTTACGTCAAAGTGTGATTTTATTAATATAATGATTGCGTCGTGACATTTTTCTAACCAAATGTAGGATAACACGGATTTTTAAAAGGTTTATAACGCGTAATATATTAGTTAATCATACCTCCTTAACTATAGCTGGTAAGCATTCTAAACGCCAGATTTTTGTTTTAAGATTACTAAAACTACATTGGCTGTATATAAAAAAAAATCGACTCGGGCAGGTCTTGAACCTACATCCATAGCGTTCCGTGCTATTGCTCTAACCAATTGAGCTACCGAGCTAGTTGTATTTTTTTTCTCTTTATCGTTTTTTAATTAATACGCGACATGTGACAAATATCCTACTTGAATCGGACTGTCTTGAATTATCATAACAGAAAAACATGTAAAAAATATGATAAACTGAAAGTCATAACATATTTAAGAAGACCCGTGCTTTTGTTGGTTCAAAGCGTGTTCCAACAAAAAGTACCCAATTTGCAACATTAAAGCTTACGTTTCCTTTCATCATAGTTCCGTAGTTCTTTAATACATTCATTATAAATGTATACAGTTAAACTCGGTTTAGATATCCGAAGGTATTTACTTATTCATTGTAATAAGGGAGGATTCGGCGAGATTTTCGGCCCCAAACCCCCCTTGGACGTTTCAATATTTTCATTCAATTCGGAGCAGAATCTTGAATTCAAACCGAGACGCTGTTTTTATTACAAAGCTATATTAGTCCGGTTTATGGCTGTATTTCGTGAACAATTGGTTGTAAATTTGAGTGGGTTGTTAATTTTTTTTCACTTCTGTTTCAGGTAAGATTGCTTGGGGGCAATGCAGTGAATTTTCAAGTGAGGATGTAAAGAATATTTTAACTGTAAATTCTAGAAACTCGAAATTTTTCGGAATTTGCCCGAGATGTGCACGTAACGATAGGTTGTAAGAATTTGACGACAACGAAATACTGTGGATGTCAAGATCAAGTCCTGGCCGAGTCGTTATTTTTTTTCAATTTACAATCGATTTTTAATTCTACAATTCGGTTTTTACTGTTGGTGTGAATATATAATACTATGGACATAAGTGACGTGGGGAATATAGTAAATAGCGCTATACCCTTATATTTGTTCGAGCTGGTACTAACCTTCTGGAGCAAAGAGTCGACCAGAACCTCTAAAGATACCACCAACTTGAGGGAGTCCTGAGAACACGTTTACATGACGCCAAAGCTCCCCCTTCAACCCCCATTAGAGATAAAGCGAAATTATATTTAGATCTTCAAAGTTCCACCTGACATGAAGTTGGAAAAATTCCAAGAAAATTCTAACCAATAGAAGAAAGTAATATCATAGTATACATGAAGAATTTTAACTAACATTTTTAGGATGAGAAAGGATAATATTCAACTGCCAAACATAATTCGCCTGTAAAGTCATCAAAATAAATACTGTCTATAGTTATCGAGTACTACACATTTAAATAAATTACTTTAACGCTTTAAAATACGATATAATTTAACTTATTTGAAAATTATATAACTACAGTTCCGCGTGACCGTCGGGCCGTTGTAAGAATATTTTTTAAATAATTTTAATTAATATCGCGTTTTAAACCGTTAATGCGTTTTATTTAAATCATCGAAATACTTAAAGCTTTTTAGGTTATAAATAAGACTTCTGTGTCTTCCTTCTATTCTTCTTCCGGTTAGCCCAACTCAAACTTAGCCTAATCGTTGTCAAATAATCATAGAACGCAACACATAAGAGCTAGTAATTCCTAAACAACAGTTCAACCCCTGCAGCGGCAGTGGCGGAAATAAACTATACGTCCTAAGCAATAAATCTGAATTCATACAAACAGTTCGTTTGACAGCCAGGATTTCTGAATAATGGGCGGATATTCGCGCCATAGACTGGCACAACTATTATAGGAGCAATAACCCACGGGCGGCGCGTAATTTTATTACGAACGTTATTATATTGCAGCAGAGCGTTGCACTATGCGCTGGAATTAATTTATAACTCACATTATTCCCGTAAATCCCTCTGTGGACATAATAAAGAAAAATCGAAAAATCTTTGATTAAATTGCTGACCTTACCTTTCATTCAAACCCAAAATGGATCGACAGCTCATCTTGCTTAGATGTTAATGCGTATGGATGCGGTATTTATATTATAAGGACCGATAATTCGTATACATCATAACCTTACAACAGTTTTAACGGTTTAAAAGGCGATATGTATTGCAGCAGCCGTGGTCACGGGGAGACTGAACTTGACCACGGCTGCTGCAAAGCATCCGAGTCGGGCCGAAGTTAAAAATCATTTTCAAATAAGTTTAACTAATATATCGCGTTTTAAACCGTTAAAGTGTTTTATTTAAATGTGTACTACTCGCGTAAACTAAAGACAGTATGTTTAGTTTTAATGATCCGACATTTCGTATGAATTGCTACAGACAATAATATATGTAATAGTGAGCTTATCGTCCTATAATAATCAAAATTTAGAGTGTATTTATATAGAACAATAAATTTATTACTTAAGACAATTAACTTAAAGGATGACTTGTCGATTGATCAATAGTTTTATAATCTTAAAATGTTACGAAATTACAAAGAAAAGACAATTGAATAATATATAGATTTACTGATACAAACTTCTACCAAATAAACATAACTAAGAAAGAAAAGAATTGTTAGAAAAATCTATTCTTCCGCCGGCGCTGGCTCTTCCGCTGCTTCAGTTGGGCCTTCGGGTGCTTCTTCAGGCGCGGGAGCTTCCGCTGGGGCTCCTTCCGGTTCTTCCGTGGCCTCCGAAACTGGCTCAGCTTCTTCCTTGACAGGGGTTGGAGATTCAGCCGGTTCTGCCTCTATGGGTTCTTGCTTTACCTCCTCCGGTTCCGGCGTAGCTGGCGTCGCCGGCGCCGGACTCTCTGGTTCTTGTTTTGGGACTTCAGAAACGGCTGACGGTGGTAAAATCTCCTGTACAGGTGGTGGTATGGGCGCAGCCACTACCGGCGGCGGTTCCTTCTTGCCCGGCTTCCCCTTCTTTTGTTTCCGCTCCAATGGCAAATAGAGCTTATAATCTTGCGGCAGTTCATCCTCCGAGAACAGCCTCTCGCTAAAATAAATCCTCCTCAAGCGGGCGTTCGCGTGAATTTGCACGCGCAGCGTTTCTATAAACTGTGTCCCATAAGCGCGCCTGGTGAAGTCAGCTAAATTGAATTGGATCTGATTCCATCCTCCCGATAACCCGATTGGCATGCTGGTACAGAAAGGTTTGATTTTGGTAGTCGACTGAAAGTTGGATATCCGAAATCGCCTCCTCATATTCTTATCGTCGAGTATGGTGATCTCGAAGGAGAAGTAACGCTTCAAATTCTTCACGATCATGACGAGGAAGGGCAATTTTATGCCCAGCACTTGATTGCGCTTCGGGCAGCTTATGTAGGTAGTGGCCACGTTCGTGCTGACTATTTCTAGGACTATCGAGTTCACTTCCGCGTCGGTTAATCTCTTTATGTGACCGTTCTGCACTTCCATATCCCATATTGCTAACGGATTGGAGCCGCAACTGTAAAATATTGATAGCAAGCCATTCTGATATGTATTTTTAAACATTGTGCAACATTTATTGTTGCAATCTGATGTAGTGCTGCGCTGACACTTATGACAGCTCTGTGTGATGTGTCATTATATAGTGTATTTTATTTGCTTAATCGAGGTTTTAATGTTACTAGCTGTACAGTGTTACCCATTTATTAAATGGAAGCTTATCTAAATATGTGTTTTAATTTTAAGAGTTAAGTCAAAGATTTTCTAAGGGAACATCGATTGAGCAATTTTGATAAAAACATATAATATCCATTTGAAATTGTATTTACTGAGAATTAATTTATTAGTGTTACAATAGCTCTACGAACATTTTGTGTTATTTTTTTCACAAGTACATGAAAGACAATCTTTTTCTTACGATAGAAGAGTACAAAGACGCGTCGGTTTCATTTGACGGAAGGTGAAACACTCCCCAAAAAATACACATACCATTCTGGCTTTGTTAACAATTATGTTATGTTGTATGTTAGTAAAAAAAAAAAAGGTCCTATTTTTAGGGTCAAATCGATGCAAACACACAAAAAAACATTTCCCCTTTAAAGGCTGCAGGGCAAATGTAGATTGAACACCTTCGGGCTTTGAATATAATATGTTAAACGTATGCCAATGAGGTGATAATTGACCACATAATTTCGTTACCGTTACGTTATTATACCGACTGGACTGTACGGCTTTTAGTATCCTAATCAAATACAAATCTAGTGAATTCGATTATTATTATATTCAAATGTAAGAGCTTGTTTTACGGTATACGAATCTAATAAAAATTCACTTCCTTGAATAATCGTTCTTAACGGTATAAAACGTGAAATATGCTTACGTATTTAACTGGCCACCGACGTTACAGATCCTTTACACCAGCCGTAGTCAGTTTAGCAGTTTTATTAAAATGATATAAACAATGCTTCTTCAAACTCGTTTGTAAGTACGCAAATCTATTAATATAATTAGTTGAAAGTAAATAAATAAGAATCACCTACCAAAATAAAATATATAATTACTCTTTTTATTATAGGTACGCAACACTATTTACATAAATTAATATTAAATATTTAAAATAAAATATTAATAACATCTCTTAACTCCTTTGTTCACTGAGTAAAGATTCTGCCTTCTTCTCTTATTCAGGAGCAGTTTCTGCCGCAACTGGCTCTCCTGGTTTCTCTTGAGGTGCGCCCTCAGCTTCCTCTGGCTTAGTCTCGGGTTCAGCAGCATATTCCTCGACTTTTTCTCCTTCTTGTTCCTCTCCAAGTGTAGATTCTGCCCCGGCAGTTTTAGGCTTATCTTCATCGGCGATTTGTTTTCCTGAAGGTACCTTTTCAACAGGACCTTCTGTTTCCACTTGTGATACCTTTTTCTCTAAGTTATGTTTATCTTCACTCTTATCTTCCTGTGATGGTACTTTTGTTAGCGAATGTACCGATGTTTTCGAACTCTTTGCTTCGTCAGTCTTTGCCTCTAATTTGGCTGATGTGATTGGTTTTATCGCCTGCTGCGAAGTAGGTTTATTCTCCTTCCCTTGTTTCTTCTTCGAGGCGAGTGGAAAGAATAATTTGTACTCCGCCGGTAATTCATCTTCGGGTATCAATCTCTCCGTGAAATATACTCTCCTTAAACGTATATTGGCGTTAATTTTCAGTTTCTGCACTTCGACGAACTGCTTTTTGTAAGCGCGCCGTGTGAACTCGGCTAAATTGAATTGTATTTGATTCCATCCATCAGAAAGACCGATCGGCATGACTGTGCACAAAGGCAATATTTGGGTGGTGCTTTGAAAATTCGATACGCGAAAGCGGCGGCGCGTTCCCGTCTCGTCCAGTATCGTGACTTCAAATGAAAAATACTTCTTCAGATTCTTTACTATCATGACCAGAAAGGGCATGGTTATGCCCAACACCCCGTTGCCTTTGGGACACGTGATGTAAGTTGTACTTACGTTGGTTCCACCTATTTCTAAGACCATAGATTTTATGTCTTGATCGAGAAATCGCGTTATGTACCCGTCTTGCATTCGTGTCTCCCATATAGCGAGGGGCTTTGATCCCACGCTGAAAAATATTGTAAGCATTCCGCGTTGATACGCATTTCTGTACATTCTTTATGAGCTAGAAGCTATTAAATACAGTGGCAAATATTATTTTCCCTTGATTGTTTTGCCAATTATTAGAAGTTGTTTTTTACTACGTGTCAGTAGTGTGACATTTGCGCGAATTCGTCGCATTCCTAATGAAAAACTTTAAGATTAAAAAAGGTTTTCATTTTAATAGCCTCGTTTTTTTATTGTGTTGTGGTAAGTCAGTTTAATCGGTTCTCAATACATATTTTTGGAATGAAACGGTTTGTAATACATAAAGTCTTATCAAATAGGTAAGTGTTATTAATATAAAATGATCTACATTTTGAATAGATTTATGCCATAATTAATACTAATATTTTCTAATGATCAAATATTTAAGTAGTTGGTACCTAGTCGTTATTGTACTGAACTGTATGGTATGCCAATTTGGGTAAAACGTTATTTCTATATTAAGAAATTTTACTTCATGTCTCGAGCTCGTCAAACTATCCGTCCCAATTATTATTACAAATTTATTGGTAGTAACTATAATCCACCAATCCGCTCTGAACTAGCAGAGTGGGTCTAAGCCCTTGAACACACCACACATAAGGGCAATAGGTTAGAACGATACTATTGTTTTTTAAAAACTTGTAGAATCCAAAATAATCTTAATCGTACGAATATAACTTTTTATAGATACCCGCATAAAATTAAAAAGCAAAGAGGGTATATTTCATGGAGAATTCTCATTTGTAAAGTATCGTCATAGCTGAACGCGGTTGAAAAGCGTCGCCGGCGGAAATTAGTACTTAGATTCACCTTCAGAGTTCAGACTCCATACCTTTTATCAATCGGTCAATAAACCTTTGCCGTTTTACAATATTAAATAAATATTTTGCTGTAGCATTTTCTCCCTTAGCCATAAAGAAATAGAGTCGCCATTTTTAAGACCATTTACTGACTTATTGTTCTTGTAGTCATAGCCTATAAGTCTGGCTTGATAATACCAACAGAATTACTGATACAGACAGTTAATTATCCTCATATCTTAAACCCACTAGTTTGATAATCGTGTTACATTACTTTATTAGTTTTTTTTTAAACCGCGAAACGGTTTGTTTTTTTGTTTGTTTATTTTTTGTTAAAAACGAAGATTTAATATCCAGATTTGTTCTTCATGAATAGAATAAATAAATAAATAAACCTAGCTAAGCATAAAAATGCGTTTTGTTTTATTCCGTTTTGTCTTATATATTTTCAGAATTCAGATTTCAGGATGAAAACATACAAATCTCAAACATCGCAAAACACATGTTATCGAGAGGAGATCTCAATAAATTTTTATTTAACGCCTTATCGCTATCGTTCTATAACATTAGTTCTGAAAAATGGCTTTATCCTTACCGCGTATCACAACAGAGGGAATCTCCCCCAAAGGGAAACAATGCAGGGGTTTTTTTCCGCAAAAAATGTCTGCACTTCGCATCACGATATTAGCTGAAACGCGTCAAACGAGAGTGCCTATCATCTCTGTCAAAAGGCCACTATTTCATTTCTTTTCTTCAGTACGGCTTGTAGGATTCCGTACGCAGAGTCGTAACGGAACCATGTTTCTAAGACTGACTGTGTTATGGCACATTGCTAACACTTTATGCACTTTAAGTAATGTCTGTAATTTAAACGAGTTGCAATACATTTAAGGCAAACCTCTTTTAACGGTTTAAAACGCGAATTATATTAGTTAAATTATGTACCATTTATTTTAACTGTGACCCGGCGTTTCGGATGATTTGCAGCAGCCGTCATGAAGGGATCGAAGATGGATGTTGTCCCTAATGTCTAAGTCAAAACCTGCTACGCTAGCGGCATCTGTTTCTCGTAGTATTTAGATAAACTAGTTGACATTTTAATCACTTAAAAGTGTTTTATTTAAATGTGTACTATTCGCGTAAACAACAGATAATACTATAACTTTACATTTCAAATAATATTATCAATAAAACAAAATCAGGTTTTTAGAGTACGGAACCGTGTGTGCGTGAATCCGTCTCACACGTCGCACGTACCCGATTTTTTTGGCTCGTCTCTCGGGCGACCAAAAGTCGTGATTTACAGACGACAAAATACTATTTCTGTAACAGGCTGTGTGCTTGTGGCCTTGCGTGACATATTTTTCTAGTGTCGACGATGACAAATGGCAGGATAAATCAAGGCGAAACATTTCTTTTAAAAGTTTCACTCCGACATTGTTCGCTGGGAGGTTTTTGTGTTGCTTCTGACGTCATTTTTTTTGCTTTCTCTCAAAATTAATGGCAGCGGATTTATGAAGGTCACACGGATGGAAGATTCCCCTTGAAGCCGATTTATACAATAGCTATTTATAAATACTGTCTATAGTTTACGCGAGTAGTACACATTTAAATCAAACACTTTAACTGTTTAAAACGCGATATATTAGTTAAACTTATTTGATAATGATTTTTAACTTCGGCCCGAAGTTTCTCCCCGTGACCGCGGTTGCTGCAAAGTATCCGAAACGTCGGGCCGAAGTTAAAAATCATTTTCAAATAAGTTTTACTAATATATCTCGTTTTAAACCGTTAAAGTGTTTTATTTAAACTACTTATAACTTACACTAATTATACTTGTAAAAACTACTACATTACGTACAACACTAAAACACCTCTGCCTATATATTTTATCAAACCTTTGCAAAAAAAGAGGAAAACCTGTTTAATATTTACATAAATACACTTTATTTATTTATTTTATGTCTATCCTGTAGCAGATAAAAAAAATAAGTTTCTCAATAGGTTTAAAATTTTTTTATAGAATTCCAATTTTTTATTAATAAATCACTTCAACGATTTAAAACACGAAATATATCAATTGAGTATTGTCTCAAGTTTACGCGAGTAGTACAAATTTAAATAAAACACGTTTAACGGTTTAAAACCGGAAAAGTATTAGTAAACTTATAGAACTAAATATAAAGATAAATAAACTAATATATTTGACGTTATTAGTCGTTAAAAGGGTTAAAATTTAAATATATATTTTTATTATCTACGACATATGGCCCTTCGAGTGCTGAAAAGCATCTCAAAACTTTTTTTCCCGTAAAAGTGTTTTTTAATGTACCACTCGCGTCAATTACAGTACTTTACGTATATTTCCTTAAGGCTTAACTAGATGTCATGAAGAACAACGTACGTAGGATTTAAAATATGCAGTAGAGAGGAGTGCGTTTGAAAAGCTAAATTATGAGAAACAGGAAAATCGTTTCACTAACGCCTTGTATTTACTGAGCTCGCCCAACGAAGCGTGGTCTGCATAATGTATTGAACGATTTCGCGGGCTTTGTGTGCGTTATTTACAACCAGCCTGTGTATTCACCCGGAAATTGGATCCACGAAATAAGACAGCCTTTATAAATAATCCATATCTAAATTCGTAAACAGATAGCTTTACAATAACATACCTTACTGTTTAAATAAAATAATTTAACGGTTTAAAACGCGATATATACGCGTTAAACTTATTTAATTCAATCACGGCCCGACATATCGGATGCGTGATTAAAATAACCGTGGTCACGGAGAGACTTTAGCATCGTTGGTGGCTAGCACACTCGACTACATGACAGGTCGTGAGTTCGAATTCTAGTTGGGGTTACACATTTGGTATTTCGAGTTTTCAAAGACTTAATAGACGTGAAAGTTTTTGGTGGCGGGGGGGGTTTTTTTTTTTTTTTGCCGGGGGGGATTAAACTTAAGTAAATTAAATCATTAAATGAAAATGCCGTGGGAGACGGGTGCTTCCCGGGACCACGCTGCAAAGCATCCGAAACATCGGGCCATAGTTAAAATAATATTCAAATAAGTTTAACTAATATATATCGCGTTTTAAACCGTCAAAGTGTTTATATAAATGTGCACTACTCGCGCAAACTACAGACATATATATGACTATTTATTTTTACAAATTACTAGTACTTGGTATGTTTAATTTTTTACTCTACTTTCACGTGTATAATACATTTTATTACTAAAAACAAGATTATCCGAGGAGGTATTAATAACATTTTAATTAAATTAATATTTTTCATTAAGTCTAGACTGTAAGTCAACGTTTTATAATCTGCCTCTGATTTTAATTAAAAGAAGTCAGTATTTAGTTAATATAAAATTCATCTTTATGTACATACACTCTTAATAAAACAATTATTTTTAATTGAAGAACTAGAATATTTAAAAATATGTTAATATTAGAAAAGTACCTATGGCTAAATTATTTGTTTTCTTTCATAAAAACAATTTTTTTTGACTATAGCCCGAAAGGCCACTAGGAAAAACAGAGGCCCTACGTGACCATATTTGCTGCAAGGCAACCGAAACATTATATAATACTTTAATTTTTTTTAATATTTGAGGGTAGTTTTATGTTACACAAAGCTACCCTCAAAATTTAAAAAAATTTCAGTTGCACTTATAAAGCGAGCTATTACTTCGTTATATTAAAATCTGAAGTAAAATGTCCTGACATGAAGGTAATGACCGAGCATCAAGCGAAGCGAGGACAATGTATCGAAATTAATATCCGAGACCGGAAGCCAGTAGCAATTTGTCCGGCCGGAATGTGGATAATTAAACGGACCCACACCATGCACTGAGCTGAAAATATTTTCTATAAGAATTCTCGTACGATATCCGCTATTTAGTCAGTACTTTGATCGATAGATGAGACACGACGGTAACTCAGCCAATTTATTTCGAAATTCGAACAAGATAGCTTTGAGCTTAAAAAAGTTCAAAATAAGTTCTTTTTTTTAAACCAATCACGCGCATTATAAGTTAGAACTGTTACCCACGATGTCATCGTTCTCGCTGGTTAAACATAAATACAAGTCGCGGATATTTTTTAGATCATTTAAAGAATTCTTTAGTATTTTTGAGGTATCTTGAATCGTTTTCGCAGTGAACGCAACGGAATCCACCTTTTCCCCGCCGTTTCTTCGCTCCTATTAGTCACAGCGC